AAATCGACCTCCGCGGCTTCCCGTCGACGGCTCTTACTCCCACCTTCGCTGGTGGAGTAAGAGCGTCGATTCGGGGATCAATTGTCGCGTCTCGACGGGACGCGATAAATCGATCCCCGAGAGGTCGATTTCTACCCGCCGATTCAGGCGGGTAGTGTAGACCTAGCCTTAGGCAGTAGCGTGTCGTCTATGTATGCAACGCCTGCATTGCATGCTCCAGGATTCAGTTCCACAAGAACACGAAAGCCCTGAATATGACTGGCCATGGGACGCTTCTGTCAGACCCCAAACATGTATGGAGTTATCACTTTGTAAAACAAAATGGTGTCCTCCACGCAACATGACCTCGCATGCCGTTGTAGAATTGCATGCCTTGCTAAAAGTGTCATGGCACACCACTCAATTTAGGTGTCCCAAGGACTGAAAAATTAGGCCCAAGTGCCTCAGGGTTTCTGTGGTGTAGATAATTAATATGTTTAGGGTTTCTCGTTTTAGGTTTTACCTGATAAACACAGATAAAACACCCCATACAAAAACCACCAAAAGTGGTTACTCAATTCGTGTTGGCTTCATCCCTTTCCCAATGCAGATTGTTCAGATAGGTGATGTCCCTGCTTTGTGGTTTGTATCCAAGGGCTTGTCTACACAGGGCAGTGATGTGGACTACAGGCTGTGATTTCTAAAGTGTACTAAGGTGTTGTGCGTTAATTGGTCCTTGTAGACTCTGCTGGTGCTCACTAAAGGTTCCCTAGTGCGGTTTAGAGGAGTGCTGTTTGAAACCATGCTACTTGTACGTACAGAGAGCCCTGAAAACCCTGATTTTTTTGGACATTTACATAGAAATAAAAATAAACCCTGAAATATACTGCACACTTTTCTCTGGCAAAGTGCCATCCAGTGGACCCTGCAGGTATGAGACATGGACACAGACAGACAGCTTTGGTACTCTCTGAGAAAGGGCTTGTCTGCACATAAGTGGCATCTCTCTACAACCAATCTAATTACATGGTGCAAACCGTGGGGGCACACGTATTTCAAACTGAAAGTGACTGTGTCTATTTAAAATCTCTGAATTTACATACGCCAGCTAAGCCTGTCAACTAGGTGTGCCTCGGTTTTAGAATGCCAAGTTTCAGCTCTCTGTCTAAATTGGTATTGATTATAAAATAACACCTCTGGTAAAACCGGTGTAACTTTGTGGCACCCAGGCTTGAGCAACATGTGTGTAAGCAGGGGTTTACATAATCTGCGCAAACAGAGGCTGTTCCTGCCTAGACTGGGTGTTCGCATGGCTGGTGAGTGGGTGGCTGGATCAGTGTGGAGGAGGCTGGAGGCCAAGGGGGAGGAAGTGTGCGGCCAGGCTGGTACCTCATACCAGCACTCACTCTTCTGCTGGCTCCGTTAGTTCCTTCAGAATTTTCTTTAAAGCAGCCTTCCCGGCCCTGTTGGTTCTGAAAGAGACCCCCGAGTGGGAGCCCGTGCAATGCTGTCTGCCTGTGTTTGCAGACAGGCCTCTCCAGCTGCTACTCTGCGGCAGAACATGGAGAGTTAAGCAGTAAATCCCCACGCGGCCTCAGGGGTAGGAGGGAGGCATGCAGCGCATACGTGGGCCGACGTGTTGTGGTGGTGACTTAGCTGTACAATTACTGTGGTGAGGAGCATGTTATAAATCAGGGGCAGGCAACCTATGGCATGTGTGCCGAAGGCGGCACGCGAGCTGATTTTCAGTGGCACTCACGCTGCCCGGGTCCTGGCCACCGTCCGGGGGGGGCTCTGCATTTTAATTTAATTTTAAATGAAGCTTCTTAAACATTTTAAAAACCTTATTTACTTTACATACAACAGTAGTTTAGTTATATATTATAGACTTATAGAAAGAGACCTAAAAACGTTAAAATGTATTACTGGCACGCAAAACCTTAAATCAGAGCGAATAAATGAAGACTCAGCACACCACTTCTGAAAGGTTGCCGACCCCTGTTATAAATGCTTAAAATTGAGGCATGTAGTGTTCTCATGAATGTCAATGGGGGTTAACACTGAAGCCTAATGATTACCAGCACATGTCTACATTTAGCGTTTTCACTAAGCATTTTTAACACCCAGCTACTCTGGGCTTTTGGGGGATGGATCTTTGGGAGAGCGCCCCTCACTATGACCCCTGCTGATGAAACCGAAACCAGAAGTCAATTGTCATCTCATTGTGCATGTTGGGTAATTTGTTGAGTTTGATCCATCTGGGTGCCACCTGCCTCTTCCTCAGCTCTCCTTGGTCCCTGTCTTCCAGATGATCTGATTCAGCTGACAGCCATGTGCTGGATGAGGGAGTTCATCCAACTGGCTGGCCGGGTGATGCTGCCCTACTCCTCAGGGATCCTGACCGCCGTTCTGCCGTGCCTATCCTACGATGACCGGAAGAAGAGTATCCTTGTTACCCAGATCAGGGGAAGCAGGCACTGCCGCCGAGCCCCAGTGTCTCTGCTTCCTCTCGGTCATACAGTTGTCACCAAGCATACGCAGCTCTGTACGGGTATTCTGGGGGCATTGGCAAAGCTCCTCAGGGAGCTAATCCCGGCTCTCCTGGCCAGAGAGGGTTTGGTGGAAGGGGGGAAAGAAACAAAGATTGTTACAATCTTACCCCTCCTTAGGCCCCTAGGTGGTTTTAAATGACATGACCAGGCCTGTGGAGGAGGGGAATCCAAATAGGTAAGATCTCTGTTGGGGAGGAGGGAAATCACATGCTGCATGTGTAATGGGGCCACTGCTGGTCCTTGGTGTCAGTCAGTCAGTGGTTAGCCTGGGAAAATCACCTTCTCTGGGGCATGAGGGTGTGAACTCAGGAATGGCCCCTTCCTATAGTGACGCTTGAGTCCCCTTGAAGCACTGCCTCCCAGCGGGATGAGCTGCCCCATCTCTGGAGTGTGAGCATCTGATCACCTAACAGGACATATCTGGTCACCTGAGCAGACACTTCCAGCTGTGCACTCTGATGTGATGTGGGAGCGGAGGATAGCTACTGAGTTTGGGGTTGCTGAGGAGGGACACAAGGAATTAGCCAACTTTCCTGCCACAAATATATAGTTCCCTCCACCCTTCCCCAAAAAGGGGTGGGGGCAGTAATGTGAGGGGGCAGCTGTCGGAATGTATAGCTTACAGGGATGCTGTAATGACTGGACGGGGTGGGAACTATGTGGGGTAGGGGAGGGGGAATGGTTCTGAGATATTCTTCTGGGTCCCTGCTGCGTGGCTTGTCTAAGGTGCTGTGTAAATCATCTTGGATTAGAGTGTTCCTTACATCCTCTCTGCTCAGGCATCAAAGAGGTAGCTAATGTGTGTAACCAGAGCCTGATGAAGCTGGTCATCCCAGAAGATGACGAAACGGATGAGGGCAAGCAGTCCCTGAGCCTCCAGACGGAGCCCAAGGAGGAGTCCCTCTCCCAGCAGGAGGTAACCTCCAGCGGTGAGTCCCTTTTCATCTTGGCTTTGTCAGAACGGCACCCAAATAGTTAGCATTCTGGTGCTTCCCCTGCATGTCCCAGGGCTGCCTGTTCAGACATATTCCGGTCAAGGTCTTGGAGAGCGGATGGGCAGAGCACTTGCGAGGTGCGACATGGGACCCATTTATTAGATGTGTGAGTTGTGTGATGGGCAGATCGGTCCATCATAGAATCCTAGAATATCAGGGTTGGAAGGGACCTCAGGAGGTATCTAGTCCAACCCCTGCTCAAAGCAGGACCAATTCCCAACTAAATCATCCCAGCCAGGGCTTTGTCAAGCCTGACCTTAAAAACCTCTAAGGAAGGAGATTCCACCACCTCCCTAGGCAACCCATTCCAGTGCTTCACCACCCTCCTAGTGAAATAGTATTTCCTAATATCCAACCTAAACCTCCCCCACTGCAACTTGAGACCATTGCTCCTTGTTCTGTCATCTGGTACCACTGAGAACAGTCTAGATCCATCCTCTTTGGAACCCCCCTTTCAGGTAATTGAAAGCAGCTATCAAATCCCCCCTCATTCTTCTCTTCTGCAGACCAAACAATCCCAGTTCCCTCAGCCTCTTCTCATAAGTCATGTGCTCCAGCCCCCTAATCATTATTGATGCCCTCTGCTGGACTCTTTCCAATTTTCCATATCCTTCTTGTAGTGTGGGGCCCAAAACTGGACACAGTACTCCAGATGAGGCCCCACCAATGCCAAATAGAGGGGAATGATCACGTCCCTCGATCTGCTGGCAGTGCTCCTACTTATACAGCCCAAAATGCCGTTGGCCTTCTTGGCAACAAGGGCACATTGCTGACTCATATCCAGCTTCTCGTCCACTGTAACCCTTAGGTCCTTTTCTGCAGAACTGCTGCCTAGCCACTCGGTCCCTAGTCTGTAGCAGTGCATAGGATTCTTCCGTCCTAAGTGCAGGACTCTGCACTTGTCCTTGTTGAACCTCATCCGATTTCTTTTGGCCCAATCCTCTAATTTGTCTAGATCCCTCTGTATCCTATCCCTACCCTCTAGCGTATCTACCATTCCTCCCAGTTTAGTGTCATCTGCAAACTTGCTGAGGGTGTAGTCCACGTCATCATCCAGTTCATTAATGAAAACTGGCCCCAGGACCGACCCTTGGGGCACTCCGCTTGATACCGGCTACCAACTAGACATGGAGCCATTGATCACTACCTGTTGAGCCCAACGATCTAGCCAGCTTTCTATCAATACTTCTTTAACTTGCTGGCAAGAATACTGTGGGAGATGGTATCAAAAGCTTTGCTAAAGTCAAGGAATGATCAGAATCAACTAAGCCAACACTTTCCCCACTGGCTTCCATTTTTTTGCTGCAGTCCAGTGGGCTAAATGCGGTATAATCCCATTTCACAGCTGTGTCCTCAGTCCAGAGAGACATTCTGATCTTGCTTCTGTTTGTACAGTATGCAGCGCAGAGGATCTGCTCATCCTGTTTGGAGCCTGAGGCTGCGTCTACACCGCAGGGACTATACCGGCACAGCTACAGCACCATAGCTATGTCGGCATAATCACATAGTGTAGACACAGCCTATGCCGGCAGAAGGGGTTTTCCATCTGGTGTAGGAACACTGCCTCAACACTGGGGGTTAGGTCGGCATAGCTACAGCACTCAGCGGTGTGGATTTTTCACACTCAGAGATGCTGCTATGTCAAACTCAATTGTAAGTGTAGACCAGGCCTGAGTACTTCCATAAAATTAAATCATAGACAGCACTGAGTGTTGTAACTTGGCATTACCGTGAGCAATCTAGCCTCAACATAGCCCGTGCTCAGTCTAAAGTCAAATGCTGCAATGCAGTGGTTGTCCGTGGAAGCTGTTGTTTGAGCATTGACATCGTGGCAGTGAAATGATTTTTCCTTCTTCCTGGTTGTGGGTTACGTCAGTACATAATTAACATGGAGTCTAGGGACACGGCTCTTGCCTTCTGCATAGGTCCCTGTAAGCTTCGTTATTTGGGATTGATGAGAATTGTAATTACCTCACTCAATTGCCAGTACAACCCAAGTAGTGCGCGCGTGTCCCTAAACTTTGAAACTTGCCAGCTACTGAAGTATTTAGAGGTTTTTAAGGTCAGGCTTAACAAAGCCCTGGCTGGGATGACTTAGTTGGGAATTGGTCCAACCTTTGAGCAGGGGGTTGGACTAGATGACCTCCTGAGGTCCCTTCCAACCCTGATATTCTATGAAAATGTAAAACCCAAGGCCACTGTAGTTGACAGACTTCTTTCTCCAGTTTCCTTTATGCACTTGCCAGCACCATTGTATTTGTGGTTGACAATGCGCAGGAGCCCCTGTCCATAGGCCAGGACTGCATTGTGCTAGGCGCTGTACAAAAGAGAACAAAAAGACAGTCTCTGCCCCAGAGAGCTTGTAGGCTAGTCAGTTTCATGGCTCCCCTGTACAGTTTGTGTGAGTTTCTCTTGCACAGCAGCTGTGGAAAATAAAGCATCTTTGAAGATAAGAAGAAAAAACCAAAAGCCAATCCCTTAGAACCCCAACACTCTGTGACTAGATCTGCCCAGCGTGCAGTCTGGGACTGCAATGGGCCCACTGTGCACCCCTGACACTGTCGTCGTCGTCGTCCCCCGTCCCCCCCCCGCTCCTGTTTGCCGGGAGCCAATCAAAAAAAAGAAGCTACAAGCCAAAAAAGCAACTCACAAGCCAATTAAGCCAAAAACAAGCCCAATTTCTGCATTTTTTTCTTCCCTCACGGGTTTGGCATGTCTGGTAACAACTAGGATAAGTGAGGAAAAGTTAGAGAATAACCCTCCCTCCCCTTTTTCATTTTGTTGTCTTTACACACTTGACAGCAGTATGCATAGTCTGTCACTGTTTCTGCTGCATAGTCCATTTCTCCTGTTTGTGTTGGCATTTTAAAAACAGAGGAAAGAAACATTCAAAATACAAATATGACTGTAAAACCATAACCTGCCCGGAGGAATCACAGCACAGGCAAAATACATGAAAACTACTTCTAAATAATTGTATATACCAATTACAATCAACTTGATGGTACCTATTAGTCATTTTTAAAGACCATACATTTACCAAATTTCAGGATCTTTCAAACCTTTGTGCTACCCATATTGCTAGGCTGGTCAAAAACCTGTACACTGCTACAGGCAGACTTGGAGCGGCTAGCGACTTTCTATATGTGCGGTCAGCACCAAGTTCTGAGTAAAAAGTGGTTTGACTTTGTGCAAAATGTCAAAATCTGGCAAAAACCCAGCTTCCCTTCAGTCACTCCTCATATCCCAAAGTGGCGTTGCATGCTTTTCAGCCACGTCGCATCCCAGCACACTGTGCCCGCCAATCTCCACTGGCATGCGAAGAGGGGCACACTCTGACCCTGCCTGGCATCGCCGGTGGGGCAACCCAAGAGAGGCAACGGTCCTTAGTACACTGCGTTGTGTCAGAGTGACCACAGGCAATGGCATCACACCTGGCGTTGTGTAGCGAATTTCCCAGATCTATCTTAATCCTAGGACTCAATGAGTCTTTGGGGCAGCATGTAAAAGGACATGTAAGTGTTCACAATGCTAATAAGAGCAACAGTACTTCACAAGTCGTCTGTCAAGTCGCTACATGGTAGGTCCTTAGGATCTTTTAATTTGGCTTGATCTTCACCCAATACGTTATTTATATGGGCTATCCTGCTCAGAGCCAACAGTTGACACAGAAGCATGTTTAGCAGTAAACTCCTCCTCACCTAGAGGTCTGGCGCAGTGACCATCTTTTTCTTGTGTTTGTGCAATGCATAGCGCAGTGGGGTCCATGACACGGGCTCCTCACCACCACCACCAGTTTGAATACTACTTGCTTTTAAGGTAGCATCTACATTAAGAAAATGACCTAATATATTGCTGACAATGGCAATCAGCAACAGGTCCCCTATGATGTGCCTGTTGCCAAAACAGTTAATGCTCTTGAGTACAATCAAGACCATCATCCACTGACTCTGTCACATTTTCTGCAGAGGTGTTGAAAATAGGTTCACCTAGTTCTCGTTACCTCTTTACCATTGGGTCAGGACAAACTGATGCAGATGACTGCTGTCAGAAACAAACTAATTTTCTAGTGCATACAGGGCTTTCAGGCAGCACACCCACAGCTGGCAACACCATTACACGCTTTATGGTGCAAGGGTTAAGAAGCCTAAGGCCAGAATTAAATGTT